TTTCTTAGGTGCATGCTCGCCCCAAGGTAAAGAGAGTACAGTGTAGGGGTTTGCCCTGAAATTGATATAGTCATGTGTGTAATACATGTGCATGCATCTGTACAGTAGTTGAAATGGGCTGGCATACATGAAAAGGCTGTGCTTCTGGATTCCACAGCTCTGTAGTGGTCCACAGAGGTTGTGTAGGCATTTACACGTTATCGTTTTGATTGCTCTGTGTGTGCACGTTCTCTCTCTCACACTTCCACGCGCACGCTCAAAATGAGAGACAGCCGGCTTTGTACTCTGAACTTTGTGGAGCCCCTGGAGAGATCCCGTTTCACAGCATGAGGCAAGCACCTGTGCCGGTGACCATTACCCTTCTTCCGGAGAGCTCTGTTCATGCCGGAGGAGAAAGCGTCGGCCAGTATTTTCACCCCAGAGCTTTTGTTGATCTTTGTAGACACTTTGAACGTAGGTCACAGAGTGCTTTCAAGATGAGGACCAAGCCCTTGAAATGCGTTGGCTGTCCTTTGGAAGTCAATGAGTGCAGAGTAAAGAAAACAAGTCCAGCGGTTTTCACCGCTGCAGAAACGTGCCATAGCACCCTGTAGCAGCTGGAGTCCATCTTTGCAAACAGAAGATGAAGTGACCAGAAAGCGCTGGAGAGCATGGGCAGGAGGTGGGAAGGAAGGAAATAGGCTTTAACTGAAGAGAGAAGGTAGCTTGCACCATCGCATCAGCTTTTTCTGCCTGCTGTTTTTGCCCGGCAAGATTTGTTTTTCCCTATTTCACCGCAGCCAGGCTCTTCCCCCTGCCTCACTCCATGCTCTGCTTGCTCCGTCTGTGTGCTTGTCTTCTGATGTCAGTTATGCTCTTTGATTTGCAATGAGGAAACACACTGCCTTTTCCTCTGCCACCTCCTCCCCCAGTCCTCTGAACCCCTCAATGCAGAAGGATTGGATTTAGCCACGGAAGAGCAAGCATCAAAGCAATCTCTTAGGGCTCTGTGAGACAGCTGGCGTTTGAGAAATGAGGGGCAATGGGGAGCAGTGTCTTTGGGGATCATAACAAGCAGCCATTAGGCTCGTTTGCTCTCCAGATTTGTGACACAAGGGTAGCCACTGTTAGGTTAGACCGCCGTATTTTATCATGTTAGAAGCTGGGAGGGCCTGTGAGCACTTTTCCTCCATTCATTTAATCACTTAACTCACCTCTCACTTTTGCACTGTTCTTGTGTTTTGGATGTGGAGACGTGCTCGGAGGCTCGCCACCCTCTTTCTTGTACCATCTGATCCTGACTGGGATCAGGCATTGCAGTGCTTTGGGTGGATTTGCTGTCAAAATGCAGGAGGTGCCTTTCAAAGGTCCAGAGGTGGTTTTCCCTCCCGGCAGAAGGCGATGGCGTCAAGATTTTCTGAGGCAGTGGGTGGTCTTGAGAATAGAGCTGTCTGGGACTTCTTTTGATTAAACGGGTGGGGGACGGTATTAGCTTCATTGTCAGAAGATCTCAGGGTTTGTTCCGACTGAAACACTTTCTGTAGGAATATAGCAGGATTTACATCAGGTAGTGTTTTTCCAGTTGCGGAACGTCTCGTCAGCGGGAAATATGACCTGAATATCCATGTCAGGACTTGACGTGGATCTCCTACAGCTTTGGATGCTCTACCTGCACAGCTGATTTCCAGCTTTCTCTTTTGATTTGTTTCCTGTTGCTCTCTGGTTTTGCAGGGAAAATGGAGATCAGGTCTCTGGATGTTAGTGCCAGCCTGAAAGGTGCTATGTTAGCCGAGTAGCTCTGCTCGCACTGATTTATTCATGTGTCTGGCTCAGCTGCCTGCACTTGCTATTGCCACAGGAGGGATTTGAAACCTCTCCTTGACAGGCCTCAGTGGTAAGAGGAGTAAAAGAAGATTTTGAGAGCCGGTGCAGGGGCTGAGGGAGAGTATGGACTCTCTTATACACCACGTGGGGTGTCTCGGTATCTTTGTGTCATTCCCTAGTCCAGTTCCATGGAGGCTTTTTTTAAGGAAAGGCCATTCTTTGAACCTTGGCTTTCACACATGTTGGCTCTTCTCTTGAAAATGACGGCTTGCCTTTGAGCTACCTCAGTCCCTCAAGCACACAAGTGAGACAAGGGAGCAAGAGGACAGCTGGGCAGACTTCACAAGAGGCATCTGTCACTTCAAATAACACCCAAGCTTCCTAAAGTGGGTCAGTAACTCGGCAAGTCACAGATAGCTGGAAACTGCAGTGGTACATATGAGGTCCGTTCAGCCTTCAGGCTAGCTTAGGCATGTGCGGACAAAAGGGAAATTGTGGAGAAGAGGAGCATCTGTGGGGCCTGTGGTTAGCCATCCCAGTGCTCTCACGATGCTGAGGTACATGGCTAGCTGGTGCCTTGCAGCCTTTTGGACCTGGAAGGTTCTGGGCAAAGAAACAGGGAAGACATTTTTGGCATTGCTTCATGTCAGGTGCTGAGGACTAAAAGCACAGCAGTCTTGACACTTCAGAGATCACGCAGGAGGAAGGCCAGTATGTGCACCAAGCATTCAGTTTCCCCAAGCTCCAGGCTTACCAGTTTATTAAGTAAACTTCCTAGTTCCAGTGCCAGGCAGCTGCCAGCTTCAAGGATCTTATCAGACCCTGGGGCTGTGGGAAACTTTTCTGACCCACTGATACTTTAAGATCAGCATTGACTCTCCTCCATGCCCATGCCACTGAACTGAGCAGGAAGCCTGGTTTGAAATGCTTCCGAAAGTATTCGTGTCTGTAGGAAGCAGCCACCAGCTCAGTTAAGCACGTATTGATTTTTTGCAAAGTTTTCTTTCTCTTCCCCCTTTTCCAGCCTGTATAAAGTCCACATCTCGTGTGTGTTGATAGGATCACATTAGCAGCTGGTGGGCCTTGGGAAAAGTTAGTCCCTCTGGGTTCTTGTCCATTAACCATGCTTGCAGCTACTATTGTTACACAATTAACTATCACTGCCGCTGGTTGCTCCTTCACTTTTATTAAACGGCATTTTTGGTTTGCAGTCTGCTAGATGGTTTGTTGGCTTTAGTTTTGTTCATGTAATAATTCCTGCTTTCCTGCCAGTACCAACTTCAGTGCCTGGGGTAATGATTTTCCGCTGTTTGAAAATGAGTATGAAAAAGTGTCCATTTAATTACAGGATATCTCAGTATAAATTGCCTGCCTGCGCAGTTGAAGAGTCCGTGTTCCTCACTGCAAATTAGCTTTCCTGCTGTCTGTCCGTTTTTTGCTGGGAAAGAGGTGGGACCTAGGTTCTGCACTAGCATGTCTGGCTTTTCACCCTCTTTGCATTTCCTCTGTATGCACAGGAAGAGGAGTTTTATAGGAAACCTAAAGCCTGACTTGAAAAGAAGCACTCTGCAAGCCGTGGAATTAATAAAGCTTGAAGTCCTGTAGACCTCCCAGCTGAATTCCTTGGGGTCAAGTAGGGTTTCTGTGGTTGGATATGTGCAGTGGTGTGGAATCCCTGTGTGGGCTTCCAAGTATCTGAAAGGAATATGAGTTCGTTGAGTCTTCTCCCCAGAGAATTCCCAGTAATAGGAACTAGTTTTTCTTTCTGTCTGCCTATTTCCATTATACTTGTTAGAACTTGAAACTGCTGCTCTTCTACCACATTCGGTAGAAATTGACCATTGGGCTGTAAAGTTATTAGGCTAGGGCAGACAGGAAGAAGTGAGCACAGGGCACGTTCATCTCATTTCTTCAGCAAGCCAGGCTCAGAAGGCATAGTTACTAAGTATACCTTTTTTCCTTATTGCTCTTGCAGGGTGGATGGGATGAGAAGCCATCATGCCTAGAAACAAGGCGTGGAATAGCTTTCAGTCACAAGCTTGCCCTGGATTAAGATGAACGGCTAAGAAATGGAAGACTTTGGCCTCTTTTAAACTTGTGTCTGTGTGCCCTGTAGCGTTGTAGTGCCTGAGTATTCTCACCCCATTAGGCAGAATCAGCTAGGCCTGCTCACTGTTCTTAACTCCTGTACTGTACCCCATTATTTTGTTTTCAGCACCTTCCTGCTCAGATGATGAAAGCAGCTGGACTTTCCAGCACTTTACGTTCATAGTAGTCATAGACCAGTTGGTCAGAGGGAAAAAGTGTTGCCCAGCTCCCCCTCGCTCCCCCATGCACACACTGGAGCCACTCTCTACCTACTCGCAGTGCCTTCCTTCCTGCAGAGATAGGATACCTGTTGCTTTGCTCTCCAAGAGCCTGCAGCATTTCTAATGCATCCGTTCCATCTCTGTCTGCCTCTCCCTGTCGTTGGCTGAGGCCCGATGCGCTGAACGCAAGCCTGTTTTTCTGTAACTGCTGTTCCCAGAACTCAGCAGGCTGAAGAGGGGTGAAAAGGAGATAAGCATCAGGGTTCAACAACCAGACAAACATAGCTGGGCACACACAGTATATCCACCCCCAAATGCAAATAGGTTAGAAGAGCTTCCTGCCCCAGGGCTCAGAGCAGAGCAGGCTCAGGCAGGACAGCAACAGTATGAGGTAAGTGCAGTCTCGGGGGCCTTCCCTGGTCCTCTGACATCGTGGCTTTGCGCAGGCCTCAGGAGGTGGAGTGTGATTCTTATCTTTTCTAGCTTTTACTACAGTGTGACTCCTTTTATACCTCCTGATTTCTTCCATTGTCAAGTGAGAAGGGTGTCAGGCACAAAGACTTCAACCAGCACTGAGATCTCTGCGACCTGGTACTGAGGTCGGCAACTTGGAGGTGTGTCTGTTGGGGTGTGACCTGAGTCGACGCTCACCCTTTCTCTGTTACTCTCTGTTCCTTTGAGGCAGGCTGCTCCTCTTGCTAGCTACCCTTTGCAATGGAGTAGGCAGCAGCATTGTGCTGCAGAAAATGTACGGGAGGATCACGTCCCCTGACTTCCCAAATGTCTACCCAAACCACAAGGAGAGAATCTGGAATATTACTGTCCCCAAGGGATATTCTGTCCGCCTCTACTTCACTCACTTCAACTTGGAGCTGTCGTACTTGTGTGAATATGATTATGTGAAGGTATGTGTACAGAGGAGGGGTGTGCACGTGACAGGTTAAGTTCTTTAAAACTGTGTATATGTGACCCTAGGCGTGTGCAGGACCAACGTGACTGTTGTAAGCTGTAGGTTTCAGTCTGCTAGTGAAGTTTAGGCTCATTAAGTTTTTCATGGTGAGAACATTCTGGTGTTCCTGCCTCGTGAAGGAAAAAGATTGAAATTTTGCCCGAAGCAATATTTGAGAGCCATACTTACTCAACAGCCTTTCTCCATGAGCTTCGTTTTGATAGTTGCAGCGTGTGGTTTAGACTGCACGTAGTGATGTACGCAGAGCATAATGGGAGACCGTAAGTGATAGCCTAAACAAGATACTCTCAGCTTGTCAAAAGGTGTACTTGCAACACTTGCTATCGTGCTTTTGTTAGCTAATGCGAGGCACGCTGGCAGGAAAAGAAAAAAAGATACTGGCTGTTGGAAATGTTTGGGTGACTAGCAATGTCCCTGAAAGATTTGTACTCCTTGTGCTACGCGTGCTCTAGTCTAGGCAACTTGATAATTTTAGGCCGCACTACCTCTCCACTCATTTTGTGGCTTAGATAGGCCTTACGTATACTGAAGGGGGAGCTGCGTACACAGAGAGCATGCAAAAACCACTGCATCAACAGTACTTTTGAACCCAGCAGTTTTTTCCCCCTTTAGGAATATCTTCCTTCTGTGATTTTACAGGGGCAAGATGCTCGCGTTCCCCCAAATCCCTGTTGTTCTTCGTCTCGTTTTCTTTGGGTGGATCAGAGTACTCATTCCTGGTAGATGTGCTGTACGCACCATTTTATCATTACCGTGGACAACGTGAATCCCATGTATCAGAACATTTATCTTGTAGTAAAATAATGTAAGATAAAAGAAGGGCAGGAACTGGAGTAAGTGAATCATAGAGCACGTGAGTCACTAGTTAAAAAAGTCCTTTATTAGACGTTTGAAGCTGTTAGCGCGTGAAACCTTTTCACCCCATTTGTCTCTGGCTTCAGCCTCAGTCAAGTCTCCTACACACCAAGATCTGACTGCCTTTGAGAGTACAAAGTTAACAAGAGCAAAATGTACAGTAAACAAAGCACGGTGCTGATAGCCCAGGCTGGCCTCACAGCTTTGGGGGGGGGGGGGGGGGCCTCTGAAAGGAAGAAGGGAGACGAAATTGTGGGCTAATTTCACAGAGAACGGAGTCCCCTGTTATGTGTCACTGGATCTAGATTGACCTCCAAAAGCCTCTTTTGAGAGCATCCCACTCCGGAAGTATCCTGAGCTGCTTTTCACACACTGGCCAACACGTGCTTTTCAGAGTGATACAGAAAAGAGGCTTACTTCTGGTGTGTCAGCATAATGGGACCGAGGCGCGCCGCAGGAGGGGAAGTCTGTCAGGACTGGCTGCGCTTACTTCAGTTTGCTTTTCGAACTTCTTTCTGTTTGCGTGCCACTGCCTGGTGCACGCAGCTGCTTACCTTGAGCAGGGTAGGCAAACATGGTCAGACCTCCTTTGCCGTGTGCCCCCACCGGATCTTGTTGAGCACTGGCCACAAACGGAGAAAGAATTTTCTTCCCCTTGCATGGCAGCCCTGGCAGAGGTTAGGGAGAGCAAAGCCCCACGGTGACCGGATAGATTTGTCTGTCTGTTTTGCAGCTGAGCTCTAACGGGAAGACCTTGGTTACGCTGTGTGGGAAGGAGAGTACAGACACTGAGGAGGCGCCAGGCAACAAGACATACGTCTCCGTCGACAACACCCTCGTGGTGACGTTTCGGTCCGACTACTCCAATGAGAAGCCATTCACAGGCTTTGAGGCCTTTTATGCTGCTGAAGGTAAGAGACCAGCCCCTCTTGGTAGATGGAAGGGCCCCAGCTGTGGTGGGGTTGGTGCTTCTCTGGGCTCTCACAAGTCTGGCTGCTGGTGTTGGGTGAGAGAAGGCAGCCTCCTCATATGGAGAGAAAAATAAAAGGACACAGCCACCAAAAGCAAACGAACCAAACTCAAAACGAGCAGAGTGGCTCAGACCAAGGCGCAGTGTCGTTAAAGGGTGTTAGTTGCCTAACGCTGCTGCGTTTCACTTACTAGATATCGATGAGTGCAAACAGCTGTTTGATGGTGAACCCCTCTGCAATCATCACTGTCACAACTACCTGGGGGGCTACTACTGCAGCTGTCGTATTGGCTACACACTGCATGCAAACAAAAGGACATGCACAGGTGAGCCTCTGCCAGACCAAGAGATGCTTTCCTACCTGCAACACCTGCCTAGATCCAGTCCAGGCACTAGGGTCGAGATCGAGGCAGCTTTTTCTTGTTGTTGCTTTTAACAGCCCTTGTAGGCCTGGTGTAGTTGGAAGGAGGTGCAGGGGGCTAATCAGGGCTGTGAGCAGCAGGTCTGGTTTGCAGAGTGGTGTTGGGCTGATTGGTGCTCTTCAGGATGCTGAGTGTCGCAATGAAACGGTGCTTTGGTGGGTGGCAGGTACAGAAGAGAAGCCAGTGGCTGGCAGGGTGTGAAGGTAATTGTTTTTGGTTACTCCTTAGGCAGCATTCACCTGTGTTAGGCTTTAGAGAGGTTGAATAGAGAAGCAAGAAACTTGTCTTCCGCTGCCCAGTCCAGACGCTTCCAAGCTTCAGGGCTGCCAGTGCAGCCAGCCTTGCCAGCGCTGAATGTAACATACTCTCTGAGTACTGAGATACTGAGTATTCTAGACCTAAGTTAGTAGATGTGTTGGAAAGACTAACGAACAAGTTGCCAAGTCAAATGGAGAAAGAGTTTGCTTATTTTTCCCAGAGGGACACAGACTGGGAAGCAATACAATCCCCATATCACTGACACCAGATAAAATCATCCGCTCATTAAGTGGGAGACAATGCCAGGCACAGATCGCTTATTCGGTAGGGCATACAGCGTGAAGTTTTCCTAGATGATTCCTGCCTGGCTCTGCTGCTCTGTGCGCAACTGGGGAAAGAAAGCTTATCTATTGGCAGGCAGCAAGTGTCTGTCTGAATCAGTGCAGTGATCGACACCTCAGGATTTACTTTGTCTGCAGTGAAACGTGTGCAGACACGTGGTGTCAGATTCATCGTTGGTGAGTACAGCTCTGCCCACCTGGAGTTGAATCCTCTCTGGAAAGATCCAGCGCGCATACTGCTCACAAAATATTGTCGTAGGCAGGAACGCTGTTTCTTTGAGCTCCCAGGTGCCAAAACGCAGAATTGGATGTTGTTTCCAGTGCTGAAGGCCACTTTGGCATTCAGCTTCCCAGCTCCAGCCGATTATAAACCCTCTCCAACCTTGGCTGTCTGGGTCTGTTTCAAGATTGAAATTCTGTTTGCATCTCCAGTGTATTAGAACAGGCCTGTTCATTGTTCAGCCTCCCTTTCCTGAAGCGATGGCTTTTAGCAGAAGGAGTGTAGGGGTTTATGTAGGCTGTAAATGTACGCCTGGTCTTAATGCAGAGGTGCAGATGAGTAGCTGTGAACTAACTGAACTAACTGCTCTGCATGCACCGTCTGGTTGCGTGTGCTCGTGCCCCGCTCTGTAGCGCGCATGAGGCTTGCGGAGGGAGCTTAGCGGCAAAAACAAAGGGTTGGGCTACCCTGCGCTACTGAGGGGTAGAGGCACGCACACAGGGAATTACCGTGGTGCAGCTGATGTGCTGGAACTTGTTCACGTTTTGGAGGCCTTCAGATGCAAGTGCTGAAGCCTTTCCAGCGGCTGGGCTGGGCGAAACGAAGTTCTCGGTGGATTGCCTTCATGAGATGAGGTCAAAAGCTGCCCCTGTGAATTTTGGCTCCTGTATGAGCAGGCTGACATTGACAGGCTTCTTTTTTCTCCTTTATTTTCCAGCGTGAGATAATTATGCTTCTCCCCGCTTTGGCAGAGGTGGAAACAGATATGCTGGGAAGAGCTGGTTTGCCCTCCCTCCTGACCTGCCAGTAGCTGTCTGTCACAGTCCACCAGAGGCCGGTCTCCAGTTGCTCTGTGACTTGTATGTCTTGGGGGTTTCTTGCCTTTCAGACCTGCCTCCTGGAGACAATAAAGAGGCCGTTCCTTGTTGAAAGCTGATGGCATCCTCTGGGGCATTCATTTTCTTGCATTTCCCACGTGTCACTTGGGAAAGAAGAATGTAGATAAGGCAGAGGCTGATAAGGGAAGCTGTTGTGAAAGGCCCCTGGGCATCACAGCTGTCCAAAGCCTCTTGCACTTACAGTCCAGCTCTTGTTGCTTGATGGTTCAGGAGTGCTCAAACTGCAGCAAGGTGTGAACCATGCGTTTGTTCCCTCCATATTCCTTTTAGATAAGTTCTTGTCTGCACCCGGATTTGTAGATTGAACCTATTTGTATTCAGAGCCTGTTCCCCTCTTGTGAAAAGTTTGACTTTTTTTCTGAATTCTAGTTTTGTGGCTCTGGCCATAGCTCCCTTTGGGAACCTAGCCTTATTGCTAAAATTTGCTCTGGTGAGCAAAGCGTCAGGAGTTCTCAGGGTTCAGTAAAGTCATGCGAATGTCAGAAGAGCAGCTTAGGAGAGGACCGGTGTCTCTCCTTCATAAGACGGGAAGCAACGGTGTCGTCCCAAAATAGGCATAGCACAAGGAAAGCTGCTCTTCAGTGCAGCTGCTTGTGGCGCTGATTGATGCAGTCTCAGTCCCTCAGTGCCTCTCCCTGCTCCGCATCCATATCCATCTGCCGTCCCTTTAGGCTGTGCGCTCTTTGGGGCAGGGACCCTCTTGCCGTGTACTGGGAGAGCGCCAAGCTCAGTACTTGTCAGTGACTAGAGCTCCTGGACTCTGTGGAGGTAGTGCCGTGATAACTGCAAGTAAGAGGTTAAGGCAGAGCCGAGCTGCTGTAGGTGAACTACTACAAACCAGGCTTTGTTTGAAAAGCTCAAGGGATTAAGGATCATTAGTCAGTGAGCATCTCTTTATTTCTGCAATTCAACAGGAGTTGCTTTAATTGTCTTTTATGAAGCTTCGTTTTTTCCAACCCCATCTCCGCTCTTCAGTGCCTGGAGTAAATGGGGGGAACGTTTCTCCGCGTGAACGTGGGAGGCGAGGAGAATCTTGTTGGTGAGACATTAGGCTCCCTTCAGGTCACTGTATTTGCAAGCTTCTTGTGTGACCTTGGGCAAGTCACTTGATACCTCTGCTTTGAGCATCCGTCTGCGAAATGAAAGGTAACATCACTGCCTTGACTTACTGGGGAAGATGCTTAGTAAGACCTGTAGAAGGTTGAGGCTGCAGACAACTGATTTGGGGATGGAGTGGCTGCGCAGGTGGTTACCGAGACTTACTCCTGCTGCATTTAGTCTTGTTCGGAAGCCGCTCCGCGGTCGCAGTAGATTTGTGATCAAAGCAGCTTGAGACTTTTGTCATGACTCGGGGATGTGATTTGTGACCCACCTTTCATTAGAGACCTAATGAGCCAATGACAATGGGCTTGCAAGTTTTAGGGGGTCATTTTTCAGAGTTCAAGTCTCTGACAAACAGCTTACTATGATTTTAATAAAAATATGGCCTAAGCGTAATTGAGCACTCCCTGGGCAGCTCTAAAGCCTGAGAAGCCTGGGGACAGTATTACTGCTGGGAGATGTTTGAAATTACTTAATCCTTTTTGTGCTGGCTAGTTTATGACTTTCTTGCTTGCAGACCCGTGGAAAAAAAAAATACTGCCCTGACAAAGGGAACTCTCTGCGGCCACATCCAGGAGATACTAAGGAGGAGAAGAGTAGGGTCCAATATAAGGCATTTCATCTTCAAGCTGCAAATTCCCCTGAGTCTAGCACAGAGTACCTTCTTCTGTTGGGTCAGCTGGTTTTTGCTGCTCCTGTGAATACAAGTCAGGAGAGTTTATTGGTGATGACTCATATTTTCCCAAACTGTGTTGTAAAAATCTCCCATCAAAATTACGAAACTGAGTTTAAAGCCAGGTGTAATGAAGCATGAAGAGCTATTAGTCTCTACCTTTCCCCTTCTTTAGTCCTTCAAAACAAGGTGAAGGCCCATTTTCTGAAATAGAGTATTAAAGGTGCATTGTTCTTGCTGTTTGTACTGTGGGAGCATATAGGGCTCCCAGCTGTGTGCAAAGGCATGGTGGTATTTGTTGCTACGTAAACACGGGGAAGGTGATCACTGCCCTGTCGTACCGCTCCCTAACACCTGGTCTCTGCTCTAAGAAGGCGGCTGAGAGCGATTCTGCAATATGGACGTTGCCAGAATGGATCGGGCTGAGGATCCCTTGAGTCTGGTGTCCTGCCTTTGACGCTGGTCAGCATCTCACGCTTCAGTGGAAGACAGAATTCAGTAAGTGATTTTTAAAGTGTACTCCCACGTAGAAGCATAAATAGTGCGCAATACATCCTATGTCGTCTGGATGTTGCTTAGCTTACACTGAACTTATGGCACTAAGCTATGAGTTACACAAACGTATATGTGTAAGCGTATGCATCAAAGCTTTCATTTCCTGTGGCAGCAAGTTGCACAGGTTAATGATATGCTATTTCTCAAGCCTTTGTATGAGACTTGTATTTTTTGGCCTTGGATTTCATTATGTGTCCCTTTGCCCTTCTATTATTAGAGAAAATAAACATCCTTTGGAAACTGTTGTGGTAGGTTATATGTAGCGTTTTTCTGTCTCTGCACCCTTAAAGATGTTTTTTTGCGTGCATTTGTGTTCCCACACAGTGGCCTTTTCTCCACCATGTCTCTCTTACGTGCTTTTATCCTGAACTTTTATCCAATGAAATTCCTTTAAACATACTGTTTAAAAAGAAGCTAGGCAGATAATTATGGTAGGGTATAATGAATAGTGATGTTGCCTTTTAGCTCTGAGGTTACTGTAGGAGCATTTAAGCGTACCTGCCTGAGTATCCCTTACGTACACAGTAGATCTGTGCCCTGGGAAAAACTGCTTCGTAGGTAGTAAGGAAAGATTCTGATGCAGAACTAACGGAAGATTTGAGGTGTTAACTTCCTAATGATTTCAGTAGGGAGTTGAGGGTGTAAATGCAGCGCTCATTAAATTGCGGCTTGTGAGACTTTGTGCTGAGTCTTTATCCACGCCCAAGGATTTTATATTTCCATTCCTATGTTTTCCTATAATTGCCTCCAGACTACTCCTATAGGGGCTGTGGAACTGGGACAGGTATTGAGCTATGTGAGGAAAATTCAGTTTTTAAAAGAGAAATTGGGTTTTTTTTCCCCTCAGTTACATGTTTGTGAGCCCCAGACAGCTCAAGCTGCATATCAAGTAGATTTTTGGGGTGTTTCTTAACCTGGCCTTGCAGTAGTAGAGGGAAGGACGCGTTCGAGTGGGCTCACAAAGCCTGGGAGGCGGCAGCGGCGAACTCGGTGTGTCAGCGGCGGGATCGTAAGCAGCGCCTGCAGCAGCTCGGGAGAGTTTACTGGAAAGCATGTTTTATTCTCACGTAGCCATCAAAAGCTACTGTACTTTGAGGCGCAGTCTGTGGAATCACAGGAACGTGCATTTAGCTGGCAAGGGTGAGGTAAAAACAATTAAGAAGAAAACCCACTCGCTGGTAATCGAGTACAGCACAAAAGGAGAAGATTTAATTTCCATTGTAGCTCAACTGATCTTTGCTGGCGCAAAGCAGCGTGCTGTTAAGCTAGATTAGGCCGCCAGAACCTCCAGGTGAATTAGTCGAGCTTCCCCTCTTCTCTGGAGCAAGAAAGGCATTTCAAACAGGATTTAAAAATCAGGAGAGGGTTCAGTTTCACAGGCTAGGGCCTCACAGGTATTAATGTATTAACTGTTTTAATCGGTATCTTTGTCAGCTATGTTTGGATGAAAAACTAAGATGGTGAATTCAGAACAGAGCACAGGCGGATGTGGCTTGTATGTCAGTCCCTGTGGTGATGGATAGGTTTATGTCAAATAAAAGCAATTGCTCATGGCTGCGTGGGAAGATGGACAGAGAAAGATTGTTTTAAAAATTTTACCTTGTGCTGAAGGAAGCACACAGGGTACCCAAACGCATCATTATTTGTGTTGTGTTACTGTAGTTGTGCTAAGAGCCGTACAAACGTAAAACAAAGGGATGATCCCTTTACCTTTACATCTTTCCTTTCCAAGGAAATGATCGTTAACTGAATACTTCCTCTAGCAGCAGGTAGGTCCGTTGCATAGGGGTAGGGTGGAAACGCGTTTCATTCTCTGGAGTGAAAGCTTAGAATCTCGGGTAACAAAATCCGCAGGTTAGCTAAGGGGCAGTAACGCTCACTTTATCATTCACAGCTCAGTCCCTTTCCATTAGTATGACAACCTTAAACCGTATGGTCTATTTTAGGTGATAATCTGTAATTAATGACTGGATAAGGGCATTTTTGTTGATGGAGGTTAGCATGGTGTGTTTGAGGACACAGAGTCAAACGATTTCCCCCCCACACACACACCCCCCGTGCAATTAATTTAGCATCACAGTGGTGCAAAAATATGCCAGCGTTATCAGCCAGTCCAGCGTTCCCCCTCAGTTAAAGGATTGCTCATACAGCTTTTGCAGCACATTATAAAGCCTTTGTTCCCAGCTGATCAAAGCACCACTTCACAGCGATCAGATGCTGTCAACAAGCAGAGATCCTCGGGGCACTTGTGGCTGTTCCTTCTTGCTTCTCTTCAGCAGGGAGCATTTGTGGCTCCAATTGTGTCGGCAAGAGGCACAGCTGGTTTTGCTCAGAGAATACAATTACGTTCTAAATGTCTGGCAACGAAAGCATTAAGAAGAGAGCGAGCTGCGTTCAGGGGCTTCTGGAATTGAGAAGCTGATAGCTATCGTAGCGCTCTGCACGCTGTGGTACAGCAGACAAGCTGCAAATTTAGCACCTCAGAACGTTTCTGATAGCTTCCAGCCACACTGATTTCTGACGTCTAGCCCTGTGACCGTCCCCGCTGTCCTTCGCTGCAGCGCTTCTGAGGTAAGCGTGTTGGATAATGCTGGTGCCCTAAGCCTGCCACAACAGAGACAGGGCACCTTCCTCAGCAGTGACAAACACCCGCTGGTGAAAGGCGTGAGACTTCTTTCTGTAGGGAGTAATCCATGGCTCTGAAACTTTCTTTAAGGGATAGCCCACTGTAAAAAAAAAAAAAAAAAAAAAAAAAAAAAAAAGATCCACTACCTTTACCCAGTGCAGCTGGACAGAGTTGATGCACCTGTGATCATTTCCTGTTGTTTTTTTCTTTTAGCCCAGGGTCAGGTCTCTCCCTAAAGAAAATCAGGTCCTTTCAGTCCGTTTTTTACTAAAAGAACTGGAGGAGCCGCCAGCCCTGCCTGACTCTCTGAAACCTTATGCCCTGTTTCAGCTCATGCAGCTACGGTATCCCGGCTGTAGCCGAGGTTCCTGATCACGTGGGAATTCCTGGAGACCTTTAACGTGGAAACGCACCCCGAAGTGTTGTGCCCCTTTGATGTCCCTAAGCTAAGCTGAGGTTTTATTGCCTTTCATCATGGCCTTTGTGAGGCAGGCCCAATTCTTTCTTTTACTGCATCTTCCTCAGACTGTATCTTGCCCAGTCGTTTACAGATTTATCTCCCTGTATCTCTCGCCATTCGTTTCTTCTTCCCCTCCTCCCCTGAGAACTTCTGTTGTTTAATTCTTTCACTGCCTTCCTCCTCTGGGAAATACACTAAAAACACAAAGCCAAGTACACATATGTGTGAGGATTTGAAAGATGTCAAAGTTTTATGCCAACCTAACAGACCAGAGCTACCAAGAGAATCGCTTAAGTCTTTTGGATTCAGTTTTCTTCTCTATAGAACAGACGTGATGCTCACTTCCCAGGAATTCCAAAGCACTTAGGATGCTTGGATAAAAGGTGCTCTGGGAGTGATGAGCCATCACTTTAGCCACTGCCCTTTCTTCTCTGTGCTCTGGAAGAAGGGACCGTTTGAGTTCAGCTGCTTACTGGGGAGAGGCATTGTATTAAAATTAGTATGTTCACCCATAAGCCTAATGAGGGAAGGAGTTAAAAAAAAGTTGAACTTATCTCATTCTTTTCAGATTAAAAAGCCCCAAAAGCAGTTCGGCCCATTCTGTGGAAAGACTTTGCCTGCAAAAATTTAGACACGCAGCAGCGTATAAATACTGCAGGCATGACCGAGTTGCTGCGGCTGTAATACTACTTTCGTAACTGGTATCTCGGGTGCACCCGCCGGATGGAAAGTGAAATACACAGCAACAGGTAGGTAGGAGGCCTCTTTTTTAATTCTCTGGTCCAGACTATTCCCCGAACGTCATTCGGGAAAGGTCTGAATAGCAACCACATAGATGAACAGCAGTTTTATACTTAGTTTTCAGTAGTGTACCTCCTAAGCAATGTAGCTGTTGAGGCAGTTTACCTACTAAGCAGTGTTTTAACAGAGTGCCAGAATAAGAGCTGATCTTACAGGTCACCTCTAGTTCAGGCGGATGATTGTATTTTAGGGAACAAGTTGCCTTTGAATTGACAAGAGTTACGGGGCGTGTGCTTAGGCAACGCACCTACTGGGCCCGTCCTGTCAGCGTAACCGGGGCTGCTTGCGGGTAGCTGCACACCTTTAGTGTGAGAGCAACCCAGTCAATTCAGTTTTTCCTCTTATTCTCACTAACTGTAGATTGGAGTCCGCGTGAGTGAAGCGGTCCGGGGGGGTGGGCAGAAATACAGTGGTTTTTTTCTTAAGAGCATTTAGCAGTAAATAATGAAATCACTCTCGAGGGGACTATTCTGTTTTCTGATCCGCTGCAGCTTTGCCATGCCCTAGTCCTGAAGCACCACCCCATGGTCACATCACACCAGTGCAAGCCCAGTACGTTCTGGGCAGCCGCTGTACTCTGTCCTGCGACATCGGATATGTGCTACCTGCAGTAGGTGACTCTCAGCCTTTACTGCACTTAAATTTCTCAGGGATTAAACATGGAGGTGCCATTTCTCAGGGATTAAACATGGAGGTGCCATTTCTCATCACCAATTTGTGTTACTCACATACTATAATTACGAGGCACATTCAGTACACTGAATTTGTTAGCAATTGTCCTTTCTTTGATATCCTCCCCAGAGAATTATGTTTCTGTGTATGTATGCTGATGCTCTTTGAACGCTGCTGCTTAGAGGTTTGCCTGTAATTATGTTGGAAGAAAAGAATGATTTTACAGAAGATTTTAGTGTTTCACAAGATTATTGTAGCGACAATTTATAACGTTCTTTCATTTGTTCCTGCATCCCTCCAGGGAAGTTAAAACTAGAATACTCGGTCATTCCGGCTGAATGCAGCATCTCGCATTCGGTTCTGAAAAGCGTTCTGCTTCTCAGTAGGCCGTTTTGGAAGATAATCTAGGCTGTGTGTGTTTACAGCAAAATTTTGAGATCACGGTTACGTCGTCTTTGCGTTTTAAAAGGGACGCATACTTAGCTCAACAAGCAACATAAAAGCACGTTATTCACAACTTAGTTGTGCTTTCCTAATTTTGTCTACTGCCATTATTCCCTCATTTGTCTGATTTGATAGACAGACACGTTTGCTGCTTATATAGAAACCCAGAACAACCAGACGTGAGGGGTAGTATTCGACAGGAGATGGTATGAAAACCGTGTGCGTATGGAAAGGGTAGCGTATACAGCGTAGGCTGTGTTCTGCGTTTTTCCTTTGAAACGCTCTGACCATTACTCTGTGCCCTCTTTGCTGGGGATGAGGCAGTGGGGGAACTGCTACACAGACAAACGCCTGTTAGTCTCCAGTTTCCAGAAAGGTTAGCTGCTGTCCCTCGCTTCTGCAGCCATCCACTGACTGCAGGCAAGAAAAGCTTTACTAGAACCCACGTTTAAAATGTTACGATGGTAGCCTAAGAACCATTTACCTTCTCCCACTCTGAAAGCACTGCAACAAAGCAGTGCGTCTCCTGAAGACATTTTGAGCAAATAGAAATCCAGTTATTACATTTTTCCCATATTGGTAAGCAAATGAATGTGTAACTGACACTTCTTTCTGTAATTAACCCTATTCTTTGTTGTGAAATTAGTTTTACCTTTTACTTCTATTTGTGCTTCTTGGAGAACAAAGATGTTGTGAAGTCTTTTAAAGCAGAACGTCAAAAGGATGCTTCTTGGAGCAAGCCAGTGGCGAAGCGTATCAGTAAGTCAATGCCAATACAAAAATCTCCGTTTAAGTATTTATATATAAAGCATTAGTCTTATAAAGACAATTATAGAAGTGGCAGTATGAGAAATATCTTCTTTTCTGCATGGTAACTGCCCTTTCTTGTCAAAGCACACTTTGTATTTTTAAGTTAGAAGACGTTTTAATGTCTGCCGTTCTTTAAAAACCTTACAAATGAAAGTTTTTTTTTTGTTTTTTTTTGTTTTTTTAAGTGTTAGTGTCCCAGACAATACTGTACGGTCCCCTGACAGTTTCATGTAAATAGCAAAAGCATCATCATCATCACAGACAAAGAAATGTGTAGTACCTGTACCCAGAGAGCACTGGTACAATTTATCTTTACTTGAAAAGGTTTTAGCCTTGCAGTGCCCCGGTGGCCCTGCAGGCAGTAGCAGCCTTCGGAAGAGGGGAGCAGGTCCCTGCCAGTTGGCATGAGCGTAGTCTCAGCCAGCTACTGTTGGAGCCCTGCAGTCTTTCTCTGGGCTCGGATTTCAGAGCATTTGGGCATAATCATGTTCTACCTTAGAAATTTAGATTTCTGCATTTCTAAAGTAACTTTTAGATTAATTTGTATTCCTTTTTTTATATATATATATATATATAAAATATCAGTTTCCTGCATACGTTGTGTGCAGTATGACACTTGCACAGTTACAGCTAAATCTAGTGGATTGGAACGCAGATTTTCTGTGGGGAGGAAAAAAACATTCCTAGAGCAAAGGATTTAGTAAATCTGTTAAGTAACAAATTTAATAGCTTTTTTTTATTTTAGTACTTGTAGGTTGCTGAAACAAACAAACAAACAAAAAAAAACTTCATTATGGAGTGTTCATTTTAAAAATTAAATTACCGCTTTTTTGTTACTCTCATCTCAAATGAGTAGTCGACTATGGTCAGCCCGAGGATCTAGACGGCAGTACCATTACGTACGTTGCAGGGCCTCAGAAGACCACCTGCAGTGCTGAAATTCAGCATCAGTGCAAGGCCGCCTCCTACACCCTGCAGGCTAATAATAACGGTCAGTCCTGCACATCAAATTACAAAGTTCTGAGACAATCCTGGTTCTTCTGCTGGCACAGTGAACACTCCAGACGTCAATATAGATACGCCTGTAAGGTCAAGAGAACTACTCTCCAAAACACACTACCAAGGCTATTAAGTTTGAGGAGTATTGTTTGTACTTTTAAGGACGTACATACCGAAATACACGCTAGGTGTATTTTTTACAGTAACATTTGGGAGCTTGCATTTTTCATTTTCCAGTTCAGTGGCATTATATACTTGCTCATGTGGTAGCGAAGGCCAGAGAGGAGGTAAGTGATGCAGAGCCACCTTCTCATGAGTCTGCGTTAAACTCAGAGGAGACCTAAAATACGATGATCCTCCGTGCGTTGACAGGCTTCTGTATGCCATGGCTGCTTGGCTTTAAAACTAAACTGTTCTAGTCATTTGTTCTTACTGTTTCTGTGAGATGCAGGTAAATATCAGTGCAGGCCTGAAGGATGCTAGAAAAAACTCCAAAGGAGGAATAACACTTCCTGTCTGTGAACAAGGTAATGCGTGAATTTATTAAAAAAATAAAAAGTTTGAATTAGCAGGTAGTAGGGAGTTGTTGCTGTCAGGCTAAAAGTACTGCATCGTCATTTATCAAACTCTGAGCTAGTACTGACTGATGTGGCTACATGGTTGCGCTTTGTTACAGAAGCAACTAGGCAGACTGCAGTACCTAGTACATAGATACTGAAGAAAATAGCTTTCCTTGAAGTAATGCTTTTAACTGTACCTGATGTTGGAATGTGGGAGCTTTTCCTTTAATGAAGATGCTAAGCTCTATCCTGTAATGTTTTTTCCTATATGCTAGCCTTCAGTGAGCTACAGATGGTGGGCTGTTATTCAATTAAGCTATTCCATTATTTATGTAGGATTAAGTAACAAATCGAATAGCACCTTTCTTAGATTTTCTTTTAGTACTTATAAGTTGCTGAAGCAACAAAACCCCACTTCTGTATAGTGTTCACTGTAAAAATTAAGTTACCCCCTTTTTTTAAACTCTCATTTTTAAAAGGGACAGTGCAACAACTGCTATTTACCAGGCAGGAACAACTAACAAAACGATGTGCCTAAACTTTTGATACCCGCATAATTTGACTGGCACTCCTCAGAATTATTAATACTGGTCTTGTATTTATCTGTTCAATTGTTTATCATTTAAAAGATGTCTTGTCTTACCTGAGGTTCTTGACTGTTGTTAGCATTGGAGATTATTGCCAGAAACTCAGCAGCTCCCCTCGAAAACAGTACAAAGCTGGATCTAGCTTATTTCACTTCCCTCTTGGAGATGTACGGAGATGAACGCAGTTTCATAAATGACTAATTCTCGCTGCCTTAAAGTGTTTGGCGCTGCGTCAGGACAGTTGAACCACGCTCCTCCAGCAGCATTTGAGGGGGGCAGAGGAAGCCGCTGAATAGCTTTACTGCAGAATACTGGTTTGGGGGACTTTGTTTTTAATGCTTGCATGGCTAGATCAGTTAACGCTCTGAAATTACTCAAGATCCAAGGCTGCGGAGAAACATTGTACAACTTAAAAGCCTAATTGTTCCTCTTATCGTTTTAGATTAGAATGCCTCTATATTCCAGTTACCCTAATTTACATTCAGAATAAATGCACTTGCTTCTCACGGCCCAAATTCCTTAGCAGAACTGTGCCTCTTGATTACAGAACTTTTGGAAAGGCTGCGTGTTATGCTGACTAATGAAAATTGTACTCTAAATCAAATAAATTCATTTGCAAGCAATTTTCCTATACCAAAACGATCTAGGAATTACATTTAGACTCGTTAACCTAATTTTATCCACGCAAGCATCGTAATTCTGTATCCGCATCTTAAAACATTTAACGCATTGCTGCATTTATTGTTTTGCAGTTTGTGGAACATGGAAACGCAGAACGCACAAGCGTATATAGGGAGGAATAAGAGCCAAGCCTGGAGAATTTCCCTGGCGAGCGATGTTAATTACAGAGCATGGAGGATTAGAAGGTAGCTCACTTTTGTATGACAACTGGGTTTTAACAGCTGCTCGTGTGGTAGCTGATCAAAGAAAAGCCTGGGCGCTGCGGATTAAATGGGGGATTTTGAACAGACATGGAGTTCACTATGAACAAGCCTGGGCAAAAGAAATTTTTATTCATGAAGGTTATAAAAATGATCTTGTCAGTTTTAACAATGATACTGCATTGATTAAACGGCAGCATAAATTCCCAATTAATAGGTATATTACACCCATTTGTTTACCAGGAACAGAAGAAAGATTTCAGATTTATAAACAGGTAGTCCCGTAGCTGTATCAGGTTGGGGAAGAACTGAGACAAGGAGCTCTTCTGT